ATATTTGTCATACTTCGTATGGATGTAATCGTGGAGGTTAGCTCTTTAAACACTCCATTTATACGTCTCAACCGGTCGAAATTAACGTCATTTCAAGCATAAGCTAATGATGTCGATGTTTTATAATCTGCAAATGCAGAAAACTTGTGTGATAGCGTGCGATTTGAACTGCTCAAAGAGTTGCTCTGTGTCCGCAGGTGAAACTCGCTTTATTTCATTCCTTTCAGATTGCTTGCGATCGTGCCGTGCGAGTGCTATGTCATGATAAATTTTCGGTAAGCATAACGAACGATTTCACCAGTCTCAAATATGGATTGCTTTGGTTATATGTCAGCTTGGCTATTTCTCATGAGATCAGTTTGGTGATCGCTGGAGACTTCGTTTCAAAGGAACTTCCAGCAAATATTTTCATAAGGACGAGTGAAGTGAATGCATTTCTTGGAAGCTATCGTATTGGGCATTTGCAATTAGCATTCTCATAATGCTTGCCGCATATCATTGTTTCAGTCAGTATCCAATGGCTCAGGGACGACTGCATGCATTCTACATCCGAAGGCGAGGATCTATCAGCGTGGTGAAAAGGCATTCTGTAACTTTACAAGTACACGTATGTGCCCAGTTTTTGCTGATTGTGAGGTTTTTTTAATGAACTCATTAGTTAAAGGCAAAATTGACAGTTGAATTTGATCTCTCCTTCGATACTTCGATGGAAAAGCAAACCAAACAAAGTGGCATGTGTCGATAGAATTTCATACTGTTCATTTCAGCCTATCCAGCTTATAAAGCAGCTGCTTTTGGTCCTCAAGGTGTACTGTTTACGATGTCACATTTGGCTGAAGCTTATCTGGTGTCAAGCACGGCAGTTCCAGGAACCTCATCCGTTCCGTTAGGAGAGCTGCAGTTCCCAAGTCTTAATTATGATTTTACAGTGGCCGTTTTCTATGGAGAGTCACAAAATGGACCTGAGGTGAAGCAGTCATTTGACTTGATTTGGTTATTTTGGTTTGCTCGGGTAGTGAATCAATTTGACTTCAGAATGGACAATTCAAAACGACTAATCGAAGAGTCACGAAAAAGAAAAGTTGATTTCTAACAAGTTGTGGCATCAGTTTTGCTATATTTTGCATTTCAGTATACAGAGCGATGCAATGAAATTGTGCGGAAAGCACGTCACGCTATACGAGATGATGGTTCGCTAACAATTACTATTGACGGTTGGTAACGTTGAATGACACTATTTGCAATTTCAGGGACAAATTTTGCAGCTATAATTAATAACTGATTAGGAACGAATCGTAAGCGTTACCTGAATGGTATCTAATAAGATCTGTGTAAAAAGCAATCAATTCAAATGCAATTCGATTGAACAGTTCATGACAGGATTCGTTTCATCGTAACACGTCTCCTTTTATAGGTGTTTTTATCAAACAAACGAATAACGGTGATGTTGAGGTGAATGTCCGTCCAAGACATATTTGCTGCTCACCGTCGAGCTCAGTTATTCGTATTCGTACGGATTATGTAGATATGGCTGTTCAGGTCTGTTGATGTTCAGTTTCGAGAATATTTCGTAGTCGAACCAGTCTTTTCAGTCGATCACTTTATTGGTGCTGCAAGGTGTTGCGAGTTGAAATCTCTTATGTGTATAATGGTGGATTATCAAATTATCACGCTAAATCAGCTATCATTTCAATTAGGCAATCTACTGAACAACTTGACGTGACATTCTTCGAAGTTTAATCTGGCTCTGAGCATGAATTCCATTAGCAATGGGAAACTTTAGTCGTTGATTAAAGGGGAAAGGTTTTTCAGGAAGACGAGAAAGCATACGTGAAACACGGCAATAAACACGTTCACGTCAGCCGTTCGGGCATGGTTGCGTCTGATGGTGGCTACATCACATCAATGGATCATACTGGACATATTGTTTCGTCATCATGAATTGTTTCGTATTGTGCTGTATCTTCACTGCAATCAATTGATCATCTGGATACTTTGCCCGATTAGTGGATGGATGTGCTTTGTGCATGATCAGTGTACTTTTTGGTAGTTGTTCGAATTTCTAAAGTATCTGAAATTGCTTGTCGTCGTCGACGTATTGTTAGGAAGTTGTGGCTGATGCTTATTGCTGATCGACAAAATCTTTTGCTGTATTTGGATTATTCGATGATTTCTTTTCGTTTCATTGTAGTCGATTTTCATTGTGTATTTTCATCCTCTAAACGTTTTCTTATCGCATTCTTTGCAAAGTTGTATTTATTTGATCGTATTCGACAAGTGGAATATATTTCTCGAATGCATATTGCATAATTATCGCTGAAAACAGTTTTCAGTTAGTGAATATTGCATATATTATGCAAACATTCAACAATTATTTCGTTCCAATTAGGGAAACATATCTGTGTTTGAACCAATGCAGTCTATGCTTTTTTTTTCGATCATTCAGTTGTTTTGATGTTTGAATAAAAATTTTCGCACTGTGTGCTAAATGTAACTGAAGGAATTGTCAATTCATATTTTTGCATCGTAAGATCATTCAAATTCGTTCTTCAATTTAGACTGAACCATATTCAAATGAAATATCCAGGTTCGATGTTATACAAATAGTGCGATTGCTCGAGTACATCTGTGTGAAGCATAAGGGAGATTCTTTAGTTTCAGCTATATGCAAAACACATGTTCAGGCTCAGTGTATCATTTCAGATCGGTAACTAGTTCGATCGACGAAGCTGAAGAAAATTTTACGAGCATGCCACGTAATGAGCGCATTTTACGAATGCTACTGCTACGTGTTCAAAGTTTGTTCGGAAGACTGTGACNAGTGAATATTGCATATATTATGCAAACATTCAACAATTATTTCGTTCCAATTAGGGAAACATATCTGTGTTTGAACCAATGCA